GAAGAAGAAGAAGGATGTCCAATCTTACAAACTACATTTCTCTGTTTAGCGTATATTCCCAACAAGTGCTTTTGTGTAATTATCAACATAAAAATCTCTTCAACAAGGAAAATATGCTAATAACATGGAAGAGAAAGAGAACATAGAGGAACAAAACATGGATGTTGTTGAACGGCATGTGAATTATCAAGAACATGACTTAAAAAGATGAAGACATCAACAAAAATATCAAAATCGGAGCACGCAATAAATATTTCTCTTTAAGAAGATATTGCCAACAGTAAACAACAACTGCCTCCTAAAAACCTTGACTTGTAAATAGCGGTACTTCAAGTCTTAACTAGTAATATATGGGGAAAAAAAAAATCAAAAGAAAACAATATGCTATATGAATTTTAAAAATGTAATGCAAGAGCCCTTAAATTGCAATATATTGAATGATTCATGCATGAGGGTATTTTAGGTGTAAGAAAACACCTCTATGAGTTTTAAATTTCGAAAGACACATTTGGGACGGGAGTGAAAGCACTTGGAAGCCAAAAGACAACTTATGGACACCAAGGGATGCAATCTACGCACCCTGAACCGCAAGCAAGTTTTGAGAACCATCGAGGGATGCGACATAGTCAACTGAGCTCTGCGATACCGTACCCACACATCCAAATTCAAAAAATGTGGATTCCACTCGTCCAAAAAAACCCTATTCGTTTGGCTTACCCGAGCGTACTCAAAGACCAAATGCTTGCTAATCCAACAAAATTTTAGTTAACTCAATTGTGTAGCTTCAAACTTATATTTTCCTATATTTACAAATTAGAAGTAATTTTTCGTAGAGAATTTTCTCATTCTTAGTCCTCTATTTAGTCTTATATTTACGTAAAATGGAACAAAAAACCAATTTTTCTTACATCCAATACTCGAAAAAATAATTACAACATCAAAGGCCACCAAATCATAGACAGTGTGACAACTCATGACCAAGCCTATATGTGTCACGTTTCATAGCCTACGGAGATTCATATGTTGAACAGAATATCGATAAACTCTTCAATACTCAAAAACAAGATAATAACAACCAAGAAAAAAGAATTACTGAAGGAAAGTATTTGGGAAGATCTCCACTGGAAGATGAATAAAAATGTATACATTTTCAACGGAAGGTTAAACATACGCAGGCAGCCTAGCAGTTTATCTTTTATAATGGGTGCCAAATATCAAGACATGAAACTATAAGATACACTGGTTCATTGAGTCTAAACAGGAAATTAACCTCTGGCCAGCATTTTATTCCGACTAGGAAAATAGAAACCAATGGAGTTGGTTAGGCCTTCAACTGCTGGCCCCTCCCTTAGAAAGATCCTCGAGTGCCTTAGAAATTTCTTCCTCATTAAAGCCGTCCAAAAGTATTCCCCTCTCAACACCCATGTCTAAATCGATGAAAAAAACCCATCAACAAAGGGTATCATGAAAAATAAATAAAACATTCACCTAAGATATGTTGATTAATCTGAAAATTAATAGGATAACAAAACATTAAGAGCTTACGATCACGGTCTCAACAGTAAAAAGGTACCACTAATTAAGATGGAAATTGGCTAGACGAAGGATTGAGCCGCTATGTTACCCGGACTCTTCTATTCAGGAAGAATGCCCGTGTCATGTGGTGTCGACACTGGTGTGGGTATGAGTGTCGGGTGTGGCATTTTAGCCTAAAATGTTCAAGATTTCTAAACTATTGACGAGTCGGACGCTCATATCTCCACACCCGATACGCTACCCATATCCGAGTCCAGGTAGCATAGGATTGAGGTCTACTGATATTTTCCAATTGCCATACAAAATCATCGATATTGACCCAAATCTGCAAGGCTATGGAGCTAAAAGGATAGTCAAGCGTGCAAAATGAGCAACTTCAAACATGTAACTTACATAATCAATACTCATTCATATTTGCACAAACAGGAAGGATTCAGCTCAAATATTATTAACACGAAACCAAAATCCAATAAACCAGAAAGAAAAGTAAGCGTTTGAATTTCATATGTATTCCAACAGGAAACCGAGATCTGGAAAAAGAAACAAGAGAGAGTTACCATATCTTGCCCAGAGCTGAGGCTCGATTCCAGCGGCCTCACGGATCAAAATGGGGAGCTTAGGGTTCTTCGTTTTCAGGTCTTTGTAGTTATTCTCAATGAAAGCTCTGCGACAAACAAAAACCGTAAGGGCATAAAATAAAGGAAATAATTTAAAAATGTGAAAATGACATCAAAACCTAGTAGAAGAGCTGGAAGGGGAAGATGGAGAGAATAAGATCCGAAGCTCCTTGAGATTCCGAGCGAGCTGTCCCCTCCACGCCATTGTTGAACTTAATCAAAATTTTGGATGTGTTCTCTGATTGTCAACAGAGTAGTAGTTTGAAAGAATATTGAGATCCTTCCACTCTTGGCCCTTTAAGAAATTTCTAGTTTATTGCCCCTTCAAATTGGTGGTATATAACAGACTATATTAAAGTGTATTCAATTATATCAGTTTTGTTAGGAGTCTAACCTTCTATATACAAGAAGTAAAATTATATCATATTTTTTGATTATTTAAATAAATACTAATAATTTTATTAATATATCATGGTTTACTTGTTGTATATATAGAAAGTTGACTTCACTATAGAGTCAACTGTTGGTTTCATTACAAAACTTTCAATCATAATATATTGGTACTTTTAAAAAATTCTAGATGTGTTCAAAAAAAATATATTATAAATTTCTAATAGCCTCTTATTTAATTAAAACTTTCTCGAGTCTCTATATGTTACCTGGGGGTACGAAATGACCCTCGATCGACTCGGCTCGACCTCGATCTGTCTGTCTCGCCGGTGGATGCCTTCGCAACCTGCAAAAATGGACACCGTCGGGGGTATTTCAGTGAATAATATGTTAGTATTATATACTGAAAGCTTAGTTTTTTATGATATTAGACTTTATCGTTCGTTGAATGAGAATTAGGTTTGGTTAAATAAGTTCTGTTTTGTTGTTTTACACTTAGATAAGATGGCTCATTATTGGGTGAACAAAAGATCATCTTATCAATTACTTGTGATATAAGAATTGTTGGTTCACAACCTAGATAGAAATAAACAAACCATCAGAACGGTTGTAGTGTCAACATTACAGTTGATCTTGACTGATTAGTTGCACTAGTACATTTATATATTGAACATGATCCCAGAGAGTAGCAGTTTGTTTTATACTAATCGTCGTAAACAAACTCAAGTCTCGGTTAATTATTGCATTCTCTTAACCCGTAAGATAAAAATAGACATGTTGTTTAGTTTTTTGAATGGTGCTTCTATATGCTTCTCTCTTTCAGGTACTCTTCTTAGAGTTGTTCTTATGAACAACTGTTGAGTAGTGTCTGTAACGCCCCAGTAATTAAATATTAATTATGTTGTAACTAGCCTCCGAGTGTAAGCTAATTCTTATTAATAAATGCTCGAGATTAATTTCCAAGAGTAAACTATTCAGTTTAAAGTTACAAGTTCAAGTTTAAAACGAGAAATATTCGAATCAAATTGGATATCAAAGCGGAACATATATATATATATATATATATATATATATATATATATATTAACCAAAATCTCGGTTTATTTTTCTTTCATGCATTGAGAATAAATAAAATTAGTCGAGAAAAGATCGAATTCAAGTGTATTCGAACGATTATAGAAATGGAGCCTTAAACATAAGCCAAGTTAAGCTCGACCTGAGTCACGACCCAAGCAACAACACACGGCACAGCAGCCGCATACCAGCCCTAGTATACTGGCACGCCATACGGCCTAGCAACCGTGCGACCCTAGTACACTAGTGTGTCATGCGGCCCAACAATCGTGTGCAGCCCAATGCGCCCAGCATCTCATTTCACTCAGCCCAAGTCATGGTCGAGAACCCTTGATGAAAACGAGTGTAATAGCACTTATTCGGCCCAAACATCTCGAGTGCATCCTCAGCCCAACATCTCCCAGCGCCTTCCAATGCGTGGCCCACCGAGCATTCTGCAGTGCAGTCCAGAGCGCGATCCGCCAGCGCAGCCTAGTGTGCTGCCTGCAGCGCAGACAACACGCGGCCCAGTGCCAGCAGGGCCCAACCGAGGCCCAAACCATATTTAGACAAATTTCTTTGGGCAATTTGAGTCTAATCACGAGATAAATGAAGAGTAAGTCCAAGCAAACCTCACCCTGTCTTACCTTGGCACCACTACCAATGAGGATGAGATGAGGTGTGGGGAAAAGGCCAAATTTACATATTTTAATGCAAATAGAGGGACCCTTCATTAACAGAGAACGTTCCAATACTTAGAAAATTTCACAAAACTCTCGAGAAATTCTGACTATAGTCCCGGCTAGCCATATCCGAGCCCTAGAACGCAAGAACATGTTCATATGGAGTAACATATCATTCTTTATAAGTTTTCTTGAGTCATATTGAAACCAGAAACTATACATAACCTAAGAAACATATATAATCAGCCTTCATAGCATTCCACTCAACCAAGCACCTCCGTTGCCGAGAGACCGCGAGAAGGAGGCCGTGAGCTTCTTGTTTTTCATTTTTGAACCCAGTGAAGGTAAACACCTCTCCAACTCTTTTTCCGACTTAAGCACGATATTTTAGGGATTACCAAGCATAGAAAAGAGACATGCACGAGTGAAATGAATGTTTATGATTTTTAAGTTAATTAAGGTCTAAATTCAGAAGTCATGTTTTCATACGGGCCATAACCGAGTTTAGTACTCCTAAAATCATTATAAATCATGTTTAATAAGGTGGTAAAGTTTTAGCCTATTTGGAGGTTATGTACTCGGTCAAATAGAAATCGAATATTTAGGTCGTTTTTGGTCACCCAAGCCATGTCTTCATTATGCAAGTATTTGTCAAGTTTTTAATACCTAAAGTCATGATATATATAGGAAAGTAATCGACCTTAAGTCGTAGCATAAAAAGAGATAAATGCTTCGGTGACCTCGAACCCAAATAGCTCGATTTTGACTCCCGAACCATTTCAAAAATCTAGTCGAATCATCTCGAGGTTTTTATGTGTTTTTAGACTCCTTATACTTCAAAGTATATGATAAGTTTAGAGTCATCAGAAAAGTAGTCGGACGGCTGGTGAGGAACTGACCGTGGCTGCTGCCATGCACCCAGCGTGCGCTAGCGCCCGACAGTACCACGTTCATAGGTTAACTTCTCGGGAGATGCCTCTGAACAGAAGGTAGCACCCGCGCCAGCTCGTGACAGTGCAATGTATGCAGGGGCGGATTTACAGCCTGTAGCCCGGGCTCAATTTTCTGGGTTTTATAGTTTATAGTTAACATATTCGGGGTTTTATAGTTTAGTCCGGGCTCAATTTTAATAAATATAAAATAGCCCACTCAGGCCAACAATAAATAAAAATAGATTAAGCCCAATTAAAAGAGGGACCCGCCGGCATTTTCAATTTGCAAGTTGAAATTGTGTACCATTCACCATTTTACAAAACTGGAAAGTTTGAAATCCATACCCGACCCACCCATTTGCCAATTTCTTTCTTCAGGTGAAAATTTTAAAATATATTTATTTTTTAGTTTTTATTAATTTTTTAGTATATTATCATATTTAGAAAACTAGTCATGTTTAATAAACTACTTCAGTCTTTAAAATTTGTGAGGTGTAGATTTATATTCACAACAAGTTATGATTTTTAGTATTATCCTACAGATTTAGTGAAAAGAAACACATTATTTGAGGTGTCACCTTCAACATTTTATGTTCGATGTTGTAAGAGCAATTTCGGCAAATGTCGAATATCTAAGAACTATGTCGAGGCCTATCTGAAATGAAAAAGGTACAGTGCTACTATTCAATCGATAAGTTAATTCGTCTAGTTTTAACTTTACCGGTCTCCACGGCAAGTGCGGAACATGCATTTTCAACTATGAAGCATGTGAAATAATTGGTTTGATATTTTTTTCTTTTATTTAACCTTTGTTAATTTATGCAGGATGATGAAGTTGTAGATGAGAAATGAAGAGAACAAAAGGTTTGTTGGAATGAAATAGAAAAGGTATATTTTTTTAAATAATTTATTGTATACAAATATGCAGTTGCAGTTTTTTTTTTTGTTTTTTTGTTTTTTTTTGTTTTTTTGCAAAAGTAATTCTAGCCCGGGTAGATTTAAATTCTGGCTCTGCCCCTGAATGTATGTGCGACAAGTCGGCCAGTTCTCGTGTTAGCGTTCGTGCGAGAGTATTAGTTGTTGGGTTCTATTAAGAATGTCGACAATGTGCACATTAGAATCTATTGAATAATAAATCCTAACGCAGCGGAATCTATAGTTAGGATTAGGACTTACGTTTTAAAATTTTTGCCGACTCTGAGACGTTTCTGATTTCCGTTGA